AAAAAATGTCATACATTTCCATAAAATCACCTAATAAAGCTGAGATGTGTGAGGCTCGCGTTGGTTCCCACCAGTGATTTGTATGAATGTGCTCCAGTAAACATGTTCATAAGTGGCAGGGTTCTGGAGAACGGTGAGATTTTACGATGTTGTTTTCACCTGCCGAACCTGAACCCAACACAGCTTCCCTTGTCGCCACTACAAGGTGTTTTGTCCGGTAGTGAATGGCTGCCGCAAATGAAAGACTCTTAAAGTTGCAGCGTTTCCCCTCTGCTGGGTTTGACGGCTATAAAACGCACATATTTGTCCTACCGTGGAGGAGGGACTGGAAATGTACACTTCTCTTTACTTTCTTTTAGCTTAAATGTTGAGTTGACCCAATTCTGTTGGCAACAGCCTGCTCTTAGCAGACAGATTGATTGTGTCACTATCACCTTTTCTCTGGGACAAACATAGAGGTATCGAGTTACTTAGACTTTTTAAATTGCTCAATAAAAGCAAAGACTCACTTGTAGACTTGGCTTTTGTGTTCATGGCCTTTTGGGGTGCTGTGAAATCCCACCGTGTACACAGGAATATGAGCCATCTTCTTGGAGGGAATCTTCATCTGAATTCAAGAAACGCGAACAACATCCAGTCAGAAAAAGCAGAAAGTTGGAGGAAAAGAAACAGTCGTGTGACATTAAGAGATGTTCATTAAAATAACAACTGACTCATACAATTTATTCGTAAAATAGGTCAGTATTATTTTACTCTCATTGCACAGCAACAAAGCACTGAACACACGTACAAACAGATGCAGACATTTTTAATTAACGGTGAGAGTGACATGAACACAGACGAGCCACAGCACCGCACGGACCACAAACAACAAAGCACAACAAATCCAAACCTACACAGCACAGAACCACACATCCAACACTGGCCGGCACTGAGGCGACAAACGAAAAAACAAAAACAAACAAAAAGAGCAACAAAAAAAAAAAAACAAGAAAAGAAAAGAAATTTGACGTCAACAGCGGATTAAACCAGTGCTAAAAACTAAAATACCTTTATTAACCCGTTTCTGCTGCAGCCTTTCTCACACTCCTTAACACTTTTCATGAACCATTTTTAAACTGACTTGCAAAGTAAACAACTAATAAACATAATCAAAAGATTAACAGGAGATAAACTTGTTCTACTGAGGCTGTAAGCTTTTGAATTTGCACATGTTTAAAATTTTAAAATTACATGTTCTTCTGTCATTGTGACGTTGCTGAGTAGAAATAATAGAGGTGGATAAATGTGGTTCTTTAAATCGCCTTCATTTCTGATTCACATTTTTCTCACAAAATGAAGATCATGGAGACACCCGACTTGTTTCAACTTGAAAAATGTGCTCTGCATTATAAACTCCGCATAAACCAACTAATATTCAAGCCATATAAACAGAGTAGGGATGCACCTACATGATCATTTAGGCCAGTGTTGATGTCCTATATTAACATTACCAGCTGTGGCTGATAACCAATATTATACATATTCCCCTTCCTTTTTAACACGAGGAAGAAAAAAAAATGACCAGACTGCTGACTCAGCTTCTCTGCTTCAGTTAAACACCAAACAATCCGGCTCTGGATCAGAGTCACATGACCAAACAAATGCCGCGTGATACACTTCCCCTCTCTCCTGAAACACATATACTAATGGCAACAAGATGGAAATAAACATCAGTCATTAATACTGGGCCAGTTTTAAGTATGGGGCCAAACGACTGACATAGGTCAATTAGACGGCAAATGCTAATTAATCTGAGAGAATAATACACAAACATTGTTTGCTTCAAGCAATGAAAATCAACTTGCTGTATTTTTATGAGTGTAACTATTAAAACAAATATATAAAACTATTTAAAACATAGAGAGACACAAGCTAGTATTTGGGAATAAAAGAAATATTATATGTCTAAAGTTACCTTTGCACTACAAGAGCCACACACTGACCTGCAAGAGGAACAAAAACAAATGAGTGTTACTACAATTCAAATCTTAAATAGTTTCTAATTCCTGTGCTTCACACTCCAGTCGTTTGATATCAAGCTGCAGAAATTATTGCATGAAAACAAGTTTGATTGCCTTATCATTTATCTTCGTTTATCTATCAAACCTTTAAAGAGTGAAAAACATAACAGTGGCTAATGTTTTGGAGAAATTCGGTCTTTCCGTGTTTCGTGTGAAGCTTAAGCACGGGATCAATGTTTAAAGATAAAATGAATAAGAATAAATATTCCAAGAAACGCTCAGAAGGTCCAGTCAAAACTTTTCTCGGCTACCTTTTGCACAGTAAGCACGTAGATGGCCACGAGAAGAGAGGGAATCTCACTCTGCAGCAGCAGCAAACCTGAGGAATCAGACGCAGTAAATACCGACGGCATTCACTGCAAACACAGCAGAGGAGACGAGGAAACCAGAGCTGCTACCTTTCCTCGCTTCAGGTTGCTGTACAACTCCTTGCTCTGAAGATATTTCTCCATTTCTGCCTTGACGAGTACTCGACGCACGTTGATGATCTCGTCCAGCGTAAGGGCCAGACTCTCAACGGGGTGGCTGAACTCCTCCTGAGGAAAAACGGAGGATAAACACACGAACGTACGAGTTCAACGATAAATATATTCAGAAGGCGTAATAAAGAGGATATTCTAAACCTGTAAAGTTATTGTTCACGTTGCAGAACGTGCATCAGCATTCCTGCGGCACTAGTTGCTTTCATGAACAGCATCTCAGTAGGACATCCTGATCCTTACTTTATACAGATGATGAGGCTCTGCTAAGAGTCTGCAGCCGTTTGGGAAGTGGCCAAGAAGAGAGTCAGCTCAAGTCAGAGGTCATGGATCTATACCAGAAAAATCTGGATTCTTCCTCCAGATTGGGGTTAATCTCCTGCCTCAAGGGAAGGTTCGAGCATCTTGGCGTCTTCTTTAAGAGTGATGGTACGACGGAGAGATCGGAGCGTTTCTTAGACCGATTATGTTGAAAAACAGAAGCCAAAGCTCCGGATTTAAACGTCCACCAAAATATTAGAAGACCAAGATCAAGACTGAGGATATAATTTAACATCCTCTATGTAGAGAGAGATGTCAGATTAGAGCCACTGGGTTAGTTAGGGTCACTTGAACCTGTAATTATATTGCTCTTTGGTTGTCTTCCATTAGAGGAAGTGATCCAAAACGTGGGTCAGTCCTAGTAGATCTACTCTGGTCTTGGAACTCACTGGGATGTCCAAATAAAAACAAAAAAAAAACGTCACTGGGTTTTAACCAGTTCCTTGACGTTAACGTTTCCTGTTTTGCTGTGAATGTTCAGTAAAGTTTGTGTGCTGTTGCCAGACTCGGCCAGGACTCTCTTGTGAAAGAGATTTTTTTATGTCAGTGGGATTTTGCTGGTGAAATAACATTTAATAGTAATAATAATAATAAAAAAAAACAAATGGGAAGGGGAATGTTTTTGAATTAGGTCCTGATCCGTTACTGCCACAGTGTGTGTGTGTGTGTGTGTGTGTGTGTGTGTGGATCAGATTGGATTGATAGACGGATGGATTAGAGGTTTTAACCATTTCATCTGAGCTTTATCTTCTCACTTATTCGGAAAAAAATGGAGGTCTGAAAGACACAATGCTGAATCTAACTCTTCACGGTGTTCTCTCTTCACCATCTTTTTTTATCTCACCATCCACTGGTCTCCGCTTCTGGAGTCCGTTGTCGTCTCGAGGCCCTCCGTGGCCTCGTCGACCGAACTCAGAGACAGGCGAGCGGGAGACGGCGGCGCCCAGCCGTAGACGGGGAAGGAAGCTGGGCGTGGAGAAACGGATTCAAAGTCAGCGAGAAGGAAACGATGAATAAAATACAGAGAGGTGGAGGGGTTGTGCAGCTGAGACTGCATGAGGAAGGCACATGTACCGGCCTAACTACTCCATGAATTACCCATCAGCCTCTGTCGTTCGGCGCCATCTCAGATCTCAGCCGCCGTACACCGTTCGGCGAACTCCTCTAAAGCCGTCGTGTATTATTAATCTGATTTCAGGAGAGAGATTTGGCCCGTGCTGCTTCGTCTGCGGGGCGGGCGGCCGTCACACGGCTCAAACTGGGTGCCTCTCTGCTGCTGCAGACGGAGGCCATCGATTTGGCTCAAACAGGCCGAGAAGACGGCTGAGACAGGCCAGCAAACATCATCCGTACATACAATTTGGATCAACTGCTGACGACAGATGCAGCTTACAGGCTTACATCCCTACACAGCCCCCAGCTTAAGCATAGGGGCCCCCCTGCTGGCAGGGCTGAGTACTACACGATGAACCTCTGCGGATTGCTGTGCGGAAAGCTGGGAGAGGACCCGGATCGTTTTTCAGACGGCGAGGCTGTTAGTGCACAAATTGTTGCCATCGAGCCGAACCTTCGCTGCTGAAGCCCCATCGCCCAGTCTGACTTTATCAGCACATCTTTTTTTTTTTTTTTTATCCAATTACAATCCATCAAACGTCTGTTAGCATCCGCAGGGCTGATCTGATCCCCGTCAGTGGCTGCTGTTCCAGCGTGGAGAGAAAAGGCTCTTATTTCAGCGAAGCAGCAGTAATTTAATAACTTTTTGTGCTTGAAGCAGAGAACGGAGGCAGCAGCGACGTAATGTCTTCGAAAATCACCAAATTATTCCGAATTGTGTCCAGCCCAAGTCAGAAATGGAGGAAATAAAGTGTGACGTTTGTAGTAAAAACAGTGGGTTTGCTGCTGGGCTGGTTACCTAACAAATATATAGTTCCAGCACAGAATAAGAGCTTAAATTTCACTGTTTGGGATAAGGAGTTACAGAGCTGCCCCTCCCCCACGTGTTTCTGAACACTGCCAGGTAATTGGTTGAAATATGACTGCTACATGGAAGGTCATGCTGAACATTAATTCTCCGGTTTTTAGAACCACTGGAAAGTTTGTCGAATGAACGCCACATGGCGTTTACCGCCACCACACTCTTATTTTTTTTTCCAGGCTTTCCAACATATTTTGAAGTCTTCAGCTGCTTTGGTTTAAAGTTTTTGCACAGTGTTGCTCTAATATGTTCATCTTAAGTTCTTAATTTTGCATATGCAACCTAAAGAAAACATGGTTTTTTTCTGAGTGTGACAAATTTCCCCTTTTTCCATTAACCTCAAAGTCAAAATCTGAGGACAGAGTCACTAGTCGGTGCTGATGAAAATGATCCAAAATGACTTTCCATATTGCCACAGTTTTCCCTCGCTAGCCTATAAATATATTTAAGTAAATAAATAAGTGTGCCTGTGCATTTATAGTTTAGTATTTCTTTCTGTGTACTCTGGTAGCCAAGCAACAACCCTTCATTTCATTAGGAAGAAAAATATGGGTGTTTAGAAAAACTCAGTCATGTCATAGAAGATAACGGAGCGCCACCTCTCCCTCTTACTGATGTACTGCAGCTTTAAAATCCTATACTTGTCAAGCTAACAACTGCATGTCAGTCAAGCTGTTGTTAACCAACTAATATAAACCTATTGTTTTCCCAGTGATGCTTTACAGTGTGCAGAATTGAAAAAAATGGTTATTCGAGTAAGTTTACTTGAACATTTCTTTAACTGGTGTTTATTCTATACCTAAAATAACTTTCTGTTCTGTCCAAACTTTAATTGCTGTGCTTTTGTAAAGCCGGCAGGTAAAAACAGGGAAACAATTTAAGCCTCTGTTTGGCTTCAGCCAACATATCTTTACTGAAGTCAATTGAACTGAAAAAAAAAAAAAACAACAACAAAAAAACCTAAATTTCATAAATCTCAGATTAATTCTTAAGCAGATTTTTGGAAATTTGTCCATCTTTTGTCTTATTTTTCATGTCTCACTGCATCCAGTGATGTCATGTTTTTATTTCCCTTTGCAGAACGAAGATGCATCACGAACACCTGGATTTGCTTTCTGATGCTTTGTCTCCCTCTAAAGGAGGAGAATTGAAACTGCTGCTGAGAGCAAACAGCTGGGTTTCCCAATCTTCCTTTCAGCCAAATTAAAGGGGCCGCAACACTCCAACAAGCTTCAGATGCGAGTCAAGATGCAGATGGGCAGGAGAGTTTAATGGCTGCACATCTCTGAATTGGCTGTGATTGAGACACAAAAAGATTTGAGTTTCTAACTAGTCCTGCTATCTCGCAAAAGTATTCACACTGCTGAGACGGTTTCACTTTTTCCCCACATTACGACAAAACCTTCAGAAATATTATTGGGAATGTTATGTTGTAGATCAACACAATGTGGCTCATATTAGTAGAAAAAAAAAAAAATCCTAATGCAGTTTTAAAACATTTTACCAATAAAAGTCTAAAAAGCTTTGTTGTTTAAAATCTCCTCAGCCACAAACCGTTCATTGATCTAAAGATATTTGGTGAGTGAAAATCCATCAGACCTCGGTGATAAGGAGGCGCTCCGGCACCAGTCAGCGTTCTGGACCGCGGCCTCACGTCCTGCAGTCTGACCGTCTCGCCCAGCTGGGCTGACTCCGACAGCGAGGGAAGCATGTCCCCGCGGAGGAAGGCCAGGTCCTGCTCCGAAAACGATCGGTCTCTTTTCAGCGGCGCCGGAGAGCTCTCAGTCCTCCTCATGTCCCCGCTGTCCGGGGACTCCTCTTCCTGCCAGGGTTCAACGAAAGATGGATATTATTACACACAGTGTTGGAATAGCATGAAAAAAAATAACAAAATTATACATTTATTTATCTATGCTACAATGTAGCATATTTTTTAAAATCAAAATTCTACATCTCAGGTTACTGACCTCCATCTAACTTATTTTTACATTGTAACTATAAATGTTTAGTGTGAATTTATCTCTGGTTAAACTTAAATTCTCTTTCAAGTGAAAGATGTACAATAGATGCTGAACAAACACTGCAAAATAGATCTAGGTTTGGGGGATCAACAGGACTAGCACATAGTTTAGGTAATGGATGTGCAAAGTTTAGCATGTTTTCTTCAGTCATGTCTGAGAAAAATGGAACTTTTGAGCTAAAAGTGCCAACACATTTAAGCCAATCTGCTAGGTTTTTAACAATAAGACAGTGTCTAAAAAATCAATATATGATTGCAAAAAAACAAAACAAAAAAACCCCCAAAAAACACAGTAAATCAGTAGAATTACTGCCTACAGATTTAATTAAATGTTTTTCTTTATCACCTGATATTTTATTCAAGTTATTACAAAAATCTGCTAATATCTCATAGGTCTGTGTTCAGACATTTTGTGCTGCAATACTGTTGAAAACTATAAAAGGTAATTATTTAAGTTCTTAGTTGTAGTTTTTATTAATTGAAAGACACATGAGGGTATATATTTATCTTTTTTTAAGCACTGAAGCAATTTGAACGCAATCCCAAGTGACTAACAACCAGTTAAATCAGCAGTCCCCGAACCTTTGCCTCTAATAATAATAATAATAAATATACATTCAAATTCATATCCTGCTTTTTAAAACAAACAATGACAATTCCATGCAATTTGTCTTCATTAAATTGCAAATTTCAAAAACAAAATATGAAGCAGACTTTCTAAAAAAAAATTGATCAAGTATCCAAGGTAGTTTTCCAACATTTACAACACGTTATTACATATGTCAAAAAAAAGAAGAAAACAAGCATTAAGACCTTTCAGATGGAAGAAATATCTTTAGTCTGGATGTTGTGGGTGTTTGTGCGATCCTAAATTTTACAGGTTTGATATTTTACAAATAACTAAATCTGCATAAAAATGTTTCTCTTTGTCCAAAATAATAATAAAAAAAAGGATTCACCTCTCCGCAGAGAAGAAACTAAACCCACCAGTGCAAGGAACAAGAGTGAGAGAAACACAGAATCAAAACGAGCGACTGCCGATGGGTCTTTTCCCACCTCAGAGATGCTCATCTCCTCCATCTCCGCCAGCGTCGGGGCCTTGAGCAGGATGCGAGGCCGCAGCGACGGCCGGGGCTCCGACACAGACAGATCGATGCATGACGTAGATTTGACATTGCAAGGACACGTCTGAGCCAGACAGGGCAGCGAGCCGAATGCTGAGAGAAGAGAAGCAGACGCAGCATTAGGGGGGAGCCAGGAGCTCTCAGATGGTGAAGGCAGGGGGAAGCTCAGACGTGCTTCGTGTGCAACTCCGGCATCTGGAGCTCATTATCGCAATCATTCGGCGACATCAGAGTGACTGTAGATGCTGCATTTTTAATAAGTGGGTCACAGAAATCTAATGCATTTCTCATTTTCATTTCATCTAAAACATTAATGCCAACCTGGGCATTACTCTGTCCATCTGTAACTGACATCTGGGGTAGGCACTCATTTTGCTTTTCTTTCATTACAAAAAACAAAAGAAGGAAGTAATAAAACTGAAGCGTCTTCTGTTCTGTTTACTAAAACAAAACATGACCAGTGTTACTGATGCTTTCTTAATAATATGCAAACTTTGTTCAACTTTATTTCATCTTTTCTACTCAGGTTTCTCCTGGCCCACACAGGTCACCTCAATAAGACGAAATGTTCTCATTCGAAGATGGAACCGCTTAAAAGAAGCAGTCAAAAACAGACGTAATGTGATGCAAAAAAAAATAAAATTTCTGTTTGTTGGTGAGAGCTTTTATATGGTGATGAATATATATAATGTGAAATATAAAGTGCAACAGTACATTTAGTATGAATGTTGCTAAGATAAAGAAATTAAGTCCAAGAAATCAACAGAAAACGTAGATTTTATGAACTGGTTGCTTTTTGTTGAACCGATTAGCTTCATAGTTTCTAAATGGTTGCATATTTGTTTCTTACTTCTTTACTTCTTAGTGAAGGCTGAAGGAACAGTCACATTTGCTGAATTAAAGGCTAGTTATTATTATTTTATTTTATTGTGAAATTAACATAATCAGAAGGTCAGGATTGTTTTCTTCGTCACAGAGGCAGTGGAGCTCAGGAGTGTCTGCGATTAATTGATTGAAATATTATTTTCTCTGCTGTGCGTAACTAATAAGGCCTTTATAAGAATCGGATCGTTTTACTTTATGTTTTTTAAGACTTGGCAGCTTTAAAGTGCATCTGTCCTGTTATTTATGTTCTTTCTCCCACAAAAAGGACAAACTAGCCGACCTTCATCTGGAAATAGCTGATCAGTATTTGTAAAATTTGACACCATGTATCAGCAAAGTGTCTGCAACTATAAACAGAAAGGCATTATCATATCAGTGTTCAGGTCTACCTTATGATTCTACTTAAAATGACTCAAAAAGACAGAAAACAGTGATGGAAAGGCATGTCAAAACTTATAAGAGAATAAATTTAAAATACAACCAATTAAATCTGTCATAATCTAAGTTACATGTAGGAAGGCTTCAATTGGAGCCAATAGAAGTTGTTTTTAGTTGCATTTAATCTGATGGCCAGGAGGAGGTGACACATTATTAGAAATGTGCGTAAAAGTCTATGGAAAATTAAATTCAGGTTTAAATCACTTCACTTTATCTACAATTCAAAATGAACGTCTTCTTCTCAAAGCACTTTATCAACATACAGAGCGACGATCAATTCAGATCAATACATGCACAGTTCAGATCCAGTACAATTCAAACCTAATGATTGATCACCTCAGCGGCTGCCCATGTGATCATAATAACGGGTTTACTGTTTGTGGACACGTGTGGCTGTAAAATGGTGAACATCACCAGAATGATGCCTTTTAAATTAGCTTAGAGGATTAAAAACTCGTTTCAGGCAGCAGAAGGAGGCGCCTCCTCTGGGGTGCCATTCATGCAAAACTGTCACTGAACCTCAGTAAACATTTTCCTGTAGAGTTCACCATTTTAATTAAAATTCAGCAACTTTCAGCTCCCGTTCTGGTGCTCTTCTTTAGGGAGACAAACATCAACCTGAACTTCTAAATGTGGCTGCAGAATTAATGTCTCTGGGTTGCAGAATCCAAAAGACGTTTGTCAATTTAAATCATGTCAGGAACAGAATCTCCTTTTTAAAGAGTAGATTTTGTACCTTTTTAGACCAAAACACCAAACCTGAGACACAGTCATTTATTTTTTTTTTCTTCAGATATTTTTACTACCTTTTTCCTTTAAGCTCTTTTATCATACTTTGTCTCTCTCCTCTTGGTGTGATGCATTAACGGATTATGCCGTTTAATGCCTCGAAACTGGAATCAACATTTTGTACGATACTTCAGAGGGTGAAAACATAAAAGTTTGGCTCTTACGCCTGGCGGTGTGCGGCACCACAGGCCTGAGCTTCCTCTCCTGCTTGATCTCTGCCAGAATCCGGTCATGAAGCGAAGGCTCCCGCGGAGGAGGAGGAGGAAGGCTGCGCTCTGAGACCTAAGCAGAAGAAAATATTTCACCACATCTGCTCATTCAAAAAAAAACAACAAAAAAACCCCACTAGAAACCAAGATTTTCCACCAGACAAAGTTGTCCTATTTATACAAAAAGCAACGGTAAAGTTTTCACACCCCTAAAACTTTTCCAGATTCTCTCTTGTTACAACCACAAACCGTCTAGTTTCTAGAGCAAATATCGCAGTGCACTTGAAGTAAGACAAAACTTACTTAAAAATAAACTTCTAAAGGAGTAAGAACTTTTTTCAAGTGAACAATTTCTTAAAATTGATGAAAACTTACTAGTTTCACTGGCAGATTATTTCACTTATAACAAGAAAATCTTAGAACATGTTAGACTTGAGATTGGATCAGAGGTTCGTCTATAGAAAACAGAATCTATCTGCCAAATCTTCAGCTAAGAGAGTAAAAAGCAACAAACTTCAGCTGTAGATTTGTAAATAGGAAGAGACATGTCCGCAAAAGACCTGCAACTTCAAGCAGCAGCTTCTTCTAAGTACAGATTGCAAAACATTTTTGAAGAGTTAAAGTTTTTTTTTTTTTATCTGCATCATTTACTTTCAGCTCTACTTTGTGTTTACGAAACAAAACCCCAATAAAATACGTAGACGTTTGTTGTAATAGGTTGTAATTGATCCTGCAAATGGATCCACTTACAGGTTTAAGAGGAGGTCTGGATCTGATGAAGTCCAGGATCAGCTCATGGGCGCTTCTCTTCACTCTGGTAGGAATATCACCGTCCACCTTTACAAGGCAGGAAACACAACGTCAACTTAGGGAACGCTAAAAACAACAACAGCAACAAAAAAAATCATACAGTCACCCACTATTACATCACAACAACATCTAATTGCAACAAAAAAATGTTATGTTGAAGCTTCAATAATTGACTTTTAGGCCTCTGACAGCTTTAAAGACACCAGGCTCTTTAAAGCACACATGAGCAGCATTAGCTGTGATTTGTAGCTTCACACAACGCGACTCTGTGTTGATGTACAAACACCATAAAACAGTAACAGCTGAACACCGCTTTCAGCATTGAAGCAATTATATATATATAAAAATAAAAAAAACCCTCCAATGCGGCCAGAACAACAGAAGGCGGGAGGGTTTCATTAATATTTGTGTCGCTGAGCTGAATAATGCATCTAGCCGTGGAGAAGGCCTCCAGGCTAACTCCACCACACCATCACCGTTTGCTCTCTGGGTCTGAGTTCAGCGTCTTCCTGCCTCACCTGAAGCTCTGCCAGCTGGTGATGAAAACATCTCCCAGCAATTGTCTTTAAAATTTTTATTTTATTTATTTTTTTCTTTTGTGGATAACATTGTTGGGGATGATTTGAAGCCCAAATCAGCTAACTGCGCTAAGTTAGCTGCTGTAAAACTGTGTAAGCTGAAGGTTGATCTAGGTGTTCAGTATCTATAGCAAACAAACTGAACTCAACATGTCTAAGTTGATGAACTCCGGCTGTTTTTAGCCTGTTTGTATCAGTTTTAGTTGCTACAAGGCTAGAAAGTTGGATCTTTGATTTTTGTTTTACCGTTAATTTCTGTCCTCTGTGCTTCTTGGATTGAATTTTTATGCGAGATTTCTAACAATTATCTCCTCTTAGCTGATGTTTTAGCTTCTGTACTGATATCACATTGTGGACTTCATGGGAATCTCTGCTAAAGACGCTGAAGAGCCGCACTAAAGCTGAATGAGGCCCTAATCAGAATGAATTCCAGTTCACATGTTTTATAATATCCAAGCAATAAATTATAGATAATTGAATTTGTTTTTTTTGTCGTTGATGCTTTATTCTTTCTTTTCCATTTCTTTTCTTTTGCTTTTGTCTTTTTTTCTTTTCTCCCTTTTGTTAGACTAGATTCTTTGCTCTTCTTTTTTCCTTTTCACTCTCATCCTGCCCTGGTTTGATCTGGCAGACATGTCTGGTGTGCAGCGCATGAAGAAGATTAGGTAAAAAGTCAGAGGTAAGAGAAAAGCTCAGTTTCAGAGAGCTGCAGAAAACATATCTATATGCCACCTAGTAGGTTGAAGTGTATTCCAGGAAAAGGTTTTCGTGTCCTCACAACATGAGGTGTTTACTAAACACTTCCGAGGCTTCCTCTGGGACTGATGCTTCTGTTGGATGAGGCTAAGATTGAGCGTTTTTATAACAAACACTTCTGGTGAACCTTCTTCACATTTCCAATTTAGAAGTTACATTCGTTATTTAGCTTTTAGACATGAACCAAAAACTAAAATGTCTCTTTATTTTGCATCTTTATTCCCCCAGCAGCTCTTCTGTAGTTCCAGTAAAAAGTTTGAACTCTTCCCCCTCGATCGCAGCGCTAGCTGAAGCCGTCGACTCTCACCATGACTTTGCGAAGCTGGAACTTGCGAGCTCGGATGTCCTGCATCAGCATCTCGAAGGGCGTCAGGCTGAACTCGGTGGGCAGCGGGTTGAACGGCTGCTCCTGGACCTTCTTCAGCTTCACCCCCTGCCTCAGCTCCTTCATCAGCTGCACCCACAGACGAGCCTGGTGGTGTGGGAAACAACAGAAACGCATCTGGTTCTGTCAGCGTGACGGCTCCGCCCGCACCCGCTCAGACACACAGCGCTGCCGTTGTCCTTTCTGTGAACTCTGTCGCCTCGTCTTACCCAGTCTCTGTGCTTCAGCGCGTCCAGCTCGGCCGTGGATTGGTCCTCCAGAGCTTCTTTGGAGGAAATCTTCTTCAGCATCTGAGCGGCACAAAACAAATGTCAAACATTTATACCGCTCGTGTTTCTGGATCCCTTCTAGAAATCACTTAAAAGCGATTCAGAGTTGGTGGAAAGACTCGAAAAGTGCTGTTCAGAGGTCCAGTCTGGCTGAGCCTGAGATTCTTTGCAACAGCGAATGAGTAAAGATTTTTGTCTGTGGATTTTTGCAAAGCCGGTAGAGACGAACACAAAAGGTGCTTCTATCACTTGAGATCCTGTGAAAGGTAATTTAAAGTTAGTGGCTGCATAACAGCACAATGGGGAAAAGTTCACA